CGTGTAGCAGTTGTAGTAACAGGTACGGTAGTAGTATGGGTGGTATTAGTCGTCATCGGGTCGTAGTGGTAGTTTTTGTTGTAGGAGTCGTCGTCGTAGTTGTCGTCGCAGTAGTTGCAGCAGCAGGCCGTGGCAGTAGTAGTAGCGGAAGCAGCAGCAGCAGGAGTAATCAGGAGTAGTAGTAGTAGTAGTAGTAGTAGTAGTAGTAGTAGTAGTACTAGTAGTAGTAGTAGTAGTAGTCGTAGTCGTAGTCGTAGTCGTAGTCGTAGTCGTAGTCGTAGTCGTAGTCGTAGTCGTAGTCGTAGTCGTAGTCGTGTCGTCGTCGTCGTAGCAGTCGAAGCTCAGGAGTACTAGTAGCAGTAGCAGTAGTAGTAGCAGTAGCAGCAGCAGTAGCAGCAGCACCGGCACCACTAGAAGCAGTAGTCGTCGTGGTGGTGGTGGTGATGATAGGGATGGTGGTACAGGCAGTCAGTGGTAGTAGTAGTAGCAGTAGTAGTAGTTGTTGTTGTTAGCGGTGGTGGTGGTGGTGGTGGTGGTGGTGGTGGTGGCGGCGTTCTTCGAGTCGGTGGCAGTGGTGATGAGGAGGGCTAGAAGCAGGAGCTACAGTTGCGTAACACTGCTGCGTGTCAATGTTGCATCGAAATGACGGCATCAAACAAGTTCTTAGAGGACAAGTCTCGCTTGGTAAGCAGCGGTCAAGGTCAAGTTCGAGTGGGCGGTGGCCGTTGGCGAAAGAGCTTCAGGCAGGGCTCCAAGCCAAAGTTCGACGGCAGACAGCAAAGCAGTAATTGTAGAACTGGAAGTAGTCGGGGCAGGCAAGCAGTAGCGGCAGTAGTAGGACTAGTAGCAGTCGTCATGGCTCTAGTGGGGCGGGTCACCCTGTTGTCGTGACGAGGCCTAGGCTGCAGATCTCAACCTCCGCTCAATCTCCAAACTCCGAGCCCGGGAAGCCCCATGTCCCGAACAGGATCCGAGCCGGAAGTGCTCTCCTTGAAGGACGTCGGGCCGTTTTGATCTTTAGCTTCACAGTTTTTTGTGGGTAGCCCATTGACTCTAAGGTTGATGCTGCATTGCACACTGTGACACATGGCTATCAAGGACAAAGCGAAAGCAGCAGCAGCAGCATCAGCACGGATGTCAGCAACAGCCAACAGCAGCGATTACAAGCAACACACGACTGCACTACAATACACCTTTGACATCCTTTGCCAACATTGACACGCGCATCGTGCCATGTTGATCATACGGTTTCCAGCAGTGAGACAACTGCACTGAGTTTCTCTTCCTCCTAGCGAGTGTCTTCGTTCTGGCCTCAGCACTTGGAACCGGTGTTCAAGGTAGGGTTTGTGGTCATGCACGCGGGCCACAGTGCTATCAAAGCAAGCAAATTCCCAGCCAACCTGACGACATGATGACCCCCCCCGAGCGATGTAGCCTGCACATGCCTGCACGCCATCAGCCTGACGTCAACGAAAAAGGATTGTTGACTCAGTGCTGCAGGACTGCCGCCGCATCGCACTCGAGGGGCAGAGGCAGGACAAAAGCCCAAGCATGAGGGCGGAGGGCTACTAAACCTTGATTTTGGCAAGCTTTGCCCGACCCGAGTGCCGATTAGTTACTAGCAGCAATAGTAATTCTTTGACAGAGTGATAGCAATGGCAACGCGAATCCATTGCTTCGTTGTTGTTGGGGTTCACTAGGCGAGTGGTTGCCGCGCGGCCGTTGTGGGAGCACTATACATGAGCAACTTTGCTTGATCCATCTTGATCCTGTCCCTACACCAAAACCCTTCGACCCTCCACGCCTCGGCATCAGGCCGACGCAGAACAAGAGCCCTTCCATCATCACGTGGGACACTTCGGCGTGGACATGTTCTCACTCAAACATTGCCACCGAAGCAGTCCACGGTCTTTACGGCAGAGGGAGAAAAGCCAGAGCTTGCCAGAGCCCATGTCGATGACGATTTGACGAACAAAAATGTTGAAGTCAGAGCCAAGGAGGGCAGAGTCGTGTCGCTCACGGTGAAGGCCGGGCTTGTCCGATTGCGGGAGGTCCAAGCTCGAAGTCGAGAACACTCAACCACAATGTGAAATTCATTGACAGTGCAAGTGCATACATACAGACACACACACACACACCTCTCTCTCTATATATTTATGTATTTATGTACTGTATATTGATATATACATGCGAGTATGTATATATATATATATATATAATTATACAAATGTCTGTGTACTCTCAGAATTCTATGCGCATAACTACCTATCCCTCCATCTATCTGTCTGGCTACCTATCGATACACAGACGGCAGGACGGCCGTACGGATAGAGGACAGAGAGCAGACAGACGAACGGACGGACGGAGAGAAAGAGAGCGAGAGATAGATATGTGGCCGGTCCCTCCAGACATCGGACTGTTCGAGCGCCTTGAGGGGTAGGCCTCCGGACCAAGGGGTCGTCCGCAACCTCTAAACCCCCAAGCAAGCAAGCAAGAGAGATAGTTAGATCGATGGACACATAGATAGTTACATAGGTACACAAATACACCGATGGATAGGTGCATCGGTGGATCGGTGGACAGATGATAGCTGATAGACAGAGACGCAGACAGAAAGACAGATAGATACGCAGATAGGTAGGTAGGATCTCAGGGATAAAGAAAACAGCGTTTGCACAGGAGGCCGAGGCCATTCTGAAGACCAGCAGAGAGTCTGCGGGTCCGCCGGCACTTGGCAGCTTCGCCCTGCTGAAGGTGCTGTCGAGGGCTCGAGGGCTAGTAGGTGGGAGTTTACACTTTGGGTGTGAGGGTGTAGGATGGAGCAACGGCTCACTAATTGGGGGCTTCGGGTTTAGAGTTTGTCTCGACACCTCTGCCCATTGAGAAGAATCTCGAAAATTCCGAAGCCCTGCGCTGTGGAGGCAGGGTTGGGGGCCGTGCGGAATGTGCTGCTCGAAAAGACGCTTGGCCCTGGAGTACTTACAGGTTTGATTGCCTCCAGGCATCTCCTCGTACTTAACCCTGGGCTCGTGGTAGGATGGGTGGAGTGCTCTTTAGCTTCTGAGTTCCCGGTTCCTTGCTGGAGCATCAGGAAAGTGCAAAGCTTCTTCGACGATCCTGAGACCGGGCTCATCCGAGTCAAGGACCACGCGCAGAAATTTGAGTTTTGTGTCGAAGCTCCACGGCCCATGGACTTGGACTTCAGGACGTGCCAATTCCAGAGAAGCTCAGCGACGCGGCTGCATGGATTAAAGATCAGCTAAACCACCGGAAATTCCAAAGAATGAACAGTCCGTCAATCCATCATTGAACTCAGAGCATGATCTTCCGTGTGTCATCTTCTGTTTGATGTCGCGATGTGTGTAAACAAGGTCAACTTGGTGTGCCATGTTATACATCATGTGAAATGTTGTGCTGAGGTACGGTCTTGCGGCCGTACCAAGCGACGGGCTACCACTGGTTGGTGCAAGCCTCAATCCTGGAAAAGGGTCCGGTGCTTGTAAAGCTATCCATGTGACACAACAAGAAGAGGTAAGAGGTAGATCTTGGGACGGATGAGAAAGCTACTTGTTGCCGCCTCAGGCCCCAAGTCCAGGCTTCGAAAGGGGCAGGGCCAGGTTTCAGAGTTTCACTTGATTTTCTGAGGCGGGAAAACTACGGCGTCAACAGTTGGGTTCGTCAGGGCCTCCGGGTCACGGATATAGAACAGACAGAGCTTCAAGGTCAACAACGCCAGAAACGGGCTCGGATGTATCCTCGCAGATGACATGGGCCTGGGCAAGACTGTCCAGGCCGGTCGCATAAATTGATCGCGTGAGGCTGAAGGGGGGAAGGGTCTTTGGGCTAAATGTTTGGGCTGGGGGTTCAGGATGTTTCAGGCCTCGCTGGTTGCTTAGGTGCTCGACAGGCCAGGAGTGTGCATCCTAATAACTTGGGCTCCAAGATCTCACTCGCGATCCCGAACTCTGGACCGTGATGACTGCTATTTTGGAGTCTTGTTTTAAAGCCCGAAACTTCGGGTTTTTAAGAGCACGCTGAAATTCAGTTAGAAGCCCGAGCTGCAAAGGTGTGACTCGGTCTCAGGAGAAGCCGCGTAAACCCAGATCACTGCTCAATAGAACTACCGTGCAGTGCCAAGAAGCACCGATGTATGAAGACGTTGGACACCATACCGCATAGTGTGCAAAGATCCTATACAATCTTTGCATCTACGAAGCAACTGGATAGGCGATCGCCCTCATGCTATTCCTGAAGAGGAACCTTGGCAGCACTGCCTGAGTTTTTCTTTTTCAGAAGGCTTCTGATTGTACAGTATGGAAAGGTCAGTTCTAGCTACAACATAACTACAATAACTATGCATTGGAACGCCTTCGGCTAAGGGTTTAGGGTTGAAAGTCCTCCATCGCTCAACCCAGCTTTGTACAACATGTACAGCCAGTCTTGAATCCCTCACTGCGACTAAATCCCAGATACTGATACGAAGCTTCTACGCCCAAAGACCTCTTATTGACCTGACTTGTGCAGAACGTGTCTGACGGGGGAGTTTGTGAATTATATCCATTCGGGTGAAGCTGACCTCTGGTGTCGAGATGACTTTGTAAAATTCAGCAAGTGAACTTAGGTGCAGTGCGCCAGTGAAGGGTCCGGAAAGTTTAACACCAGGCATTTTGCCTTAGTGACGAACACACACACATATACACTCGTACAATGGATACTGTGGTGTTGATTGCAAGTCCAGTGCAGGGAACCGCAGCGAGGGGGCTGAGAGACAACCTCTACGAAAGCATTCCCCTTAATTCTCATACTATGGAACCCAAACCTTGCTTCGCGAATCATTCAGCCATGCAAGAGGCAAAATATCCATTCGGGTCGCCGGTTCCAGGGGTTCCGTGATTTTGACATCTTTGAAGAGTTTCAGTTTTGGGATTCGGGGCTGGGGGCTTGAACGAGAATTCCCGAACCCTTGCTCCGGCCAGAGGAGTCACATGCTTGCCCGGCCGATGTTGGTCATCGTCCCGCGGCTGAGCTGCATTGGGGGCCTTTATAGCCTTTATGAGATCAATTCCTTCCAGACAACCCTGAAAGACCGTGCAGGGCAGCGGGAGTCAAACAATGCACATATGGACAGCACGAACAAACCAGGGACCTACCTAAGTAACATCACGGGCTGCTTGAAACACCCACACGCAGTTTGACTAAAGCCAGATATTTGTGTGTGTGTGTGTAAGTCTCGATTCTAAGCTAGAGGTTTTTGGCATGTGCGATGCAAGTGATTTCCGATGCTACAATGTTCCTTTGTCAGCAGGGGGGCAAGGGCTCCAGTGATCAGCCTTGCCCAACGAAGCCAAATCACTGGAGTGGATGCAGTGGCTGATCACCACTGTGTACCTGCTTTCGGATTAGCCAGTGGGCCCCCTCAGGCACTGGAGTAACCAACACTAGAGTGACAGCTTCATGTTTGCCACAGTCGAGTTCTTGCATGGTTGCTGCAATCTGATCATTCAGGTGTGACTTAGGCCTCAGGTGTTCGTCGACTTTAGCAACATATTATGACAAAACTGGAAGTGATTGGTTGTGTCCTGATGGACCCCAAACTCCGTGTGTGGCCTTGTCGCCAACGGCAACAACCGCTCCTGCGGACTGCCAGGGTACGTTTCTTGCGGCCCAAGATGGTAAAAGAACAGGCCGTACTCCTTCGGGACAGGTCAATGGTGCAAAGGCATTTATAAAGAGTGGCCCTTTTCGTGTCAGGTGATGGGTCTAAGTGCTCCTAGTGAGCAACCGGACAGACAGTGCCCCGATTGGTCAGGTGATGGGCTTGTGTGGCCCAACGGTCCTAAAGTGGCTCTAGTAGCCTGGAGTACACAAAGAAGCAACGGTAACCAAAGATGTTTGGCCGTGGTAGCATCTTGGCTTCAATTCGTTTTGTCTGTTTGCTTGTTTGTTTTGGTAGTCTCTCCGTTCTGCGAACATGGATCCTGTGCCGGATGCAGATGTTTCCGGGATTGATATCTCGGAGGAGGAAGGACCTTCGCCTTCAGTGATTCCGTTGTCCAATTTTGGGTACCAGGGAGTCGAGATCGACAATGTTCTGCCAGATCGAACCTCTACAGGACGGGACATTCCGACGATAGACTCTTCGTCTGCTTCCGAAGATCGTGAGGACACTTCAGAAGTTTCGTCGGACAGTGACCGATCGATTGCAGGCACAGCGAATGCACCCCAGCTCACTTCGCGAGGTATTGCTCGTGCCAAGAATGCTGCTAAAGTTCCTAAGGGATCAGTGGGACAAGTTTTGCAGCAGAGGAGGGAACAGATGCTGGGAGCAGTCGAGATGTGTAAGTCACCAGCAGAGACCAAACAGCCAGTTGTTGATTCTGCTTCAGATATTGATATTCAGGTTCAACAGGACATGGCAGATCGTGCTGTTGCAATGGCGACCACTCGCACTCCTGCACAGATAGGACTCAAGCGCAAGTCGCCAGCTTCCCCATCGTCGGCTGCACCACCACCACCCCCTCCTCCACCACCTCCTCCTCCACCAGCGCTTCCTGCAGGTATTGATTGCACTCCGACACAGCCTCCGCAGTATGCAGGTGATCCTCTGCTTACGACCAGTGGTCAGGACGTGCATTCTGAGTTGGTTTTGTCGAGGACAGTGGGTGGAGCAGTCAGTGTCAAGCTCAAGAGTTGGCAGGGACGGCTTATCATGCAGGCAGCTCCGGAGGACGAGATTCGAAACAATATGAAGATTCTGACTGACCTTTGCGAGGAATCAGGCTTTCAGAATTTGCCTCCTTCCGAACTTCACTGCTTTGCAACGATGATGTGCCGTTACACAGGAGATACATCCCGCATGTTCAGTCGAGTGAAGTGTCATGAGTCCAAGGCACATGTTTACTGGAGTTTCGATTTGACTGAGCGGTTTGTACCACATGATGATTCTTCTGCTGAACTTCGCAACTTATATTATTTTGCACACGGCTCGGACATTGCAGGCGTACAAGGGATAATTCAATCTCGGTTTTTGGCACCCGCCACACTGGCGGACGGGCCGGAGGCCGTAGGCCACTATTCGCAGGCAACTCCGTGGAGCGATGACATGTCGTTTGTACAGATTCTTGATAGGGTTACGAACTCTGCAAAATGGGCTTGTCCCATTATCACTCATGGATATGCTAGTGTTCCCGGCCAGCATTTCGTTTTGAAGTCGGGCGGTGGAGAAGACGCCCAGCAACAGTGCCTCATACATGGGGTCGTTCACTTCAAACGCGACCACAAATATGTGATTCACAGTGGAAGGAGCACAGTGGCAGGTTTCACGGTGGCAGTTGCCAAGCAGTTCACCCCTTTGAGAGATGCCTCCGGTCGCCCGCTTTTTCAGGTTCCTCTGACACATGCTCAGCAGATCCAGCGTGGTGCAGGCGACTGACGTCATTTCGCACAGGACTGAGAAAACAAACCAGGACGTGTGAGTCTTGCATTTTTCGTTCACCGGGCAGGACTGCTTGCATTTGCATTGTCATTGTTCAACATACATGTTTGCACAGTTTTTGGCCTTTCAAGTCTTCCTGCAGTGCACTTGAGCCATGTCGCATCGTCGTCGTGATTCGCGATCTCGAAGCCCACCGCGCTCGCATCGCAGACAGCCTGAGTTTTCTTCTTCGGGTCGTACCACTCGGCACAGATCTCGTACTCGTTCCCCAAGAGTTGAGCGAAGAAGTGGGAACCTTCCGGGGTCATGGAGGTCGACCTCGCAGGAGTGGGACTCGAACAGGGTGTATGGTCTGACGTTGCCGAGACGTGTGACCTCTAATCGTCTTACTCGAGAACTTGACATTTCAGGCATGGAGATCTTTGAGGTGCCGTTACATCGAGTGGTCTCAGGGGGCACTTCTAATTGGGCTCTACGACCGATCGCTCATGGTCGTGCCACTTCGCTCTGAACAAGCAGAACAGGAGGGCACCGATTTTGTTACCATTCTGAATGCTACTCAGAAGTTGTTTCCATCGTCGGAGCTTCAAGATTGGTCGGCTCGCTACAAGACAATCCAGAAATTGGCCGAGGACCTGGTGAAGGACTTTCGTAAGCATGCACCAGTTCAGACCAATCAGACTTTGTTGCAGCGGCTTCATGCTCTTGAGACCGAGAATGCTCGTTTGAAGGGTAAGCCACATCGTTCAGCGCAACCGGCTCTTCCTCGCCGCAGGGGCGCTCCTGCTTCAGGATCCAAGAAGACGGAGCCCAGGAGTCCCATGGACTTCGGCACAGAGGACCTTGCGGGTGGGGGTGATGGCGAAGAAACCGCCATGTTCAGATCACCTGCCGAAGACCCTTTCGAAGAAGACGAGGAGAATCAGGACAAAGGCCCCCTCGATGCTCAGGACACATACTCGCAGTATCTCCCGGATCGTGACAGTACTCTCTACCTTGAGAGTTGCAGCTTGGAAGCCACTAATCTTAAGAGTGTCAACAACTGGCTAGCATCCACTGCTATCGGAAAGGGCAAGAATAAGGTGATCGACACTGCAGTTTCCGAGTTTGTTGCTGCTTGTGCCAAGCTTGACGATGGTAACAAGAAACCAGTTGACAAAATCGCAGTGGAATGGGGTCTCTCAGTTTCTCTCGCTTCTAAGTTGAATGAGAAGTGCCTCACTCGCTTGATCGCGGGAGCCCATTTGCTGGCAAACCAGTGACTACATGCGGCTTCGAGCAAGACGAGGACCCAGCGACAGCGATTTGTTGTCACTTTTCTCCGATGGTTCTCGTTGATTCTCCCAATCCTTTACATTCTCATGCCCCACAAGGTGGTCGACAGATTCATGTGGGTTCGTTCCCACATCTTTTCGTGTGCATTATTTTCGAACGCTTTGCCTTGCTTTTCCACTGGCATTTTCGTGCGCATTCGTGATCTTCTGGTGCAGTTTCGTGTACCCAAACACTATCCATGGTCTTGGCATCAAACTTCACATATGGTGTACCTTCGTGTGTCGGTGAATCGACCGGCAACCACGGCGACTCTGTATGTTGGAGCCACCAGGACAACCGTTCCAGGACGAGAAGCCTCCAGACGTCGTAAGTTCATTCAGTTGGTTAGAAAACGACTATCCTATTTCGAGCCTGCACTCAAAGTGTTTCATCGCCGACGTGACTTTTATCAAGGTATTGTGTTGGCCCTATATCAGGACTCTGATACTCTGTCATTGCTCGCCACGGAAGCTGCTTTGATTCGGACACTTAGGCCTGCTTTGAATCATCCATGGGTATTGGATCTGTTGAAGTCTCTACGGATCAAGCAGAACAGATTCCGCTTGCCTCAAGCCAGAACAGGCCATCGGTTCACCAAGAAGTGTCAGGCTTTGATTCGACGTCGTCATGGACTCTATCATCAGCATCTCTTGAACAACAAGCAAGTGTTTCTCTCCCTCTATCGTTTGGGCAGTGATAGCTTGGAGAAATTTCTGGAATCCAGGAGACTTCGGTCTCATCGTACACCTTTGCAGGAGCTGTATCTCAGGTGCAGGTTGGTCAACATGATCGACGAACCGTTCAAAACCCGAGCTACTCAGCAGTTGCGATTGATCATGGAGTTCCGACGAGGACACATGCCGCCCACCAATGTTCCCCTTCGCCTTCCACCTCTTGCACATGATCTTGCCAAGGAAGTATGCACGGCACTTCGTAACCTTGTACAACAAGAACGAGTGAACTTTCCGCCTCTGCATTTACCATCCTGCAAAATGATTGAGATTAAATCTCGTCCATGGTCTAGGACTGCATTCAATTACCGATCTTTTCTTCGATCATGGCAGCCAGGGAAGCCGCAGGCCTGCAGGTGTACCAGTTTCTCGACATCACGGACGACAGGACACTTGTTTGTTCATGCGCGTGTGATTCTTCCGAGTTCACCTTTGGCCTTCTTGAATCTCAACGACACCTGTTTTTTGCCCACAGCACAATGGCGGCAGATTGCGAACAAGGAGATACAACGATGGTGCAACAGGTGGAGGTTACCTCGTCGAGTTCATGCAGGACTGCGGCAGTGGGTTTTGAGTCAATGTCAATTACATGAACAGACTGTGCGTTCTGATGAGCTTTCGATTCACGCAGCAGTTCTTCGCGATCTTCGACGTTTACGAGGACTTGTTCTTACACCGGCCGATCATTTTCCTTTTTCTTTACATGTTGCTTGTCCTTTCGCTTTTCATTCATTGTTGGATACTACCTTCTTAGATGAGACAGTCTTTCAAAGATGCAGTGTGGGCACTTCTTCCATTATGTCGAACTTGAAGTCGCGCTTCCAATCTACCCCTCGGTGGCCTTCCAGGTATGGCTGGGGATGTCAGTGGAGTGCATCTTTACCCGTAGCAAGGATTCTGCCCAAACCCAGCAAGGACTTCCTCAAAGCAAGACCGATCATTGGATGCGATCATTGTTGGCATTCTCATTTGACCACCTTTTTGGCCAAGGCGATTTTTCAGATCATGTTGATTGTTTTTCCGACTGGTTCCACCTTTAATGTTTTGTCGGTTCAACAAGCAGTTCGCATGATGTGGCATTCGATGATGGGGTATTCGGCAGATGAACCCACCATCATGAAGCAACAGGACCTGGTGGGCTTCTTCAATTCGGTACCACATGATCGCATTCTGCAATCTTTGCTTTTCGTTCTGCAGCTCCTAGAAGATCGTTGGCACAAACCGTGGCAACAGCAATCCTTGCAGGTTTCTGTTCGCAGCAAGGATCCCAACTTTCGAGTCTTTCGTGGACGCCGCAGGTTTGCCGCGAGGAACACAAAGACGCTTCCCTTGGAGGACCTGCCTGAGTTAGTTGGGTTCCTACTGCGGTCCAGTTTCTTTCAATGTGGCATCCACACCTTCAAGCAGATTCAAGGAGCCAGCATGGGATCGGCACTTGCACCAGTGTTATGCACTCTGGTCGCTTCGACCACGGAATTTCTGTGGCTTCGGAATTTTCGCACCATTCTGAACAACATTGGTTTTCAGACTGCCGCTCGATATGCGGACAACCGTGTCTTTCATTTACATGCAGGCATTCAAAGGAACCCATGGCTTCAACTACTTTTTCATCTTGAATTTTACGGCTCACCCATCATCCTGGAGGACGTGTTGACTGAGAACTTTTTAGGTACCACATGTTCCAACGTGCAGGGCACCATCACGGTGGTACAACCCACCGATGCTTCAACCATTCGCACGTTGCAGTCAGTTGGAAGGAACGAACACGTTCTTTCTGGTTTCTCAGCTAGGGTTCGCACGATCATCAGACTTTCACGACCGATGCGCTTGATTCGGCCACAGGTGGAGGACTTAATTGAAATCTACCGGGCCCAAGGCTTCTCACAGAGCGTTCTTTCACCGATTGCACACCACCTTTTAAAGTCTGTCGGCATCCGATTCACATAAAAAGGACAGGACTTTTGGTCAGCTGCAGTAGAGCCGATGTATCAGATGGAATTGCGCGCTGTTTTCTCTCTCTCTTCCTTCTTTCTCTCTCTCTCTCTCTCTCTTTTCCCTTCTCCTCTCTTTTACCCGCTTCGGTCGCAAGGGTTTCAGTGAACGCACATACTTGTTGCAGAGTTCACGGCTGCAGGATTAGAATATTCGTACATTAAAGCCATGAAACGGACAGCCGCCGACGCGGGCTTTCCGCGTGAACCGCAGGCTGTCAGAGTTACAGTTCAGATGCCAGCTGATCGATGTACCAGGAACCAGGCGATGATCGTTCATTTGGTGTGCTGCAGTGTGGACAATATTGATGCAGTCAAGAAACTTCTCACATATAGGATCAAAGAGATGACAGGACGTCGTCCCCAGCTGCAGTGTTTCCAATTACATCAAAACGGGAGGCATGTCTCTTTCCTTGAACCGATCACTGCATTGGCTACATTGGATGTGGTTCAATTCGTGAGGACCGCTCCAGATTTCAGGGATTCCGATGATGTACAGAACCACCCAACTCGGTGGAATCCACAGGTATGGTGACTGATTCATCCTGTATAAAAGGTTCGTGTTAGGACTGTGGTCGTTGCACTGTTGGCTTCTTGAACGTCCCTTGTGCATTTCTGTCGACGCATAGGTTCAGGACCCTCGGTAGGAACAAGGGAATGCACCATGGCTCGATTCGTTCCGGAGGTTGTGTCAGATGACTGTGACTCTTTCTCCATCTCTGACGAGTACATGCCCTCAGGATGGCACGTCGACAATCTGAGTGAGACTGACAGTGGGGATAATTCTTCTACATGCATACCTCGATGCATCACCCCGGAGGATTTCTCGGATATAGACTCTGCACACATTGGAGGTACCACGGATGAACCATCATTGGAGGACAGTGCAGTTGTTCCTGAAGTGGCTCCTGTTCCGGATCCAGAGCCACTTCCTAACAAACCTCGGCGACGTTTGCGCATGATGGATGAGGACTCTGATGGTGTTAGGATCAAGATTCTTCCTAGCCCACGTAGGATGTTTCGACGCCATATGGAGAACACCCGCATTTTAGGCGACGATTTTTACATTCCCAATCGTGCTTCGCTGATCCTCGGCTTCCTTCAAAAACATGGAAATCGCATTGTTAAAGAAAAGCCAGGACCTAAGAAGCGGTTCCGCAGCACATTGGACTTGGTTCGCTATGTCTTGAAGACAGCGAAGAAATCGTCGACGGACTAACAACTGGCAACCTGCCCAGGTCCCGGAAACAAGACCACAGCTGTTGTTCTCCTCTCTCTCTCTCTCCTTCTCCCCTTTCTCCTTTCTCTCTCTCTCTCTCTTCGCTTTTCTCTGTTGTGCAGCATGTGCATAGGAGGCAATGCGCGGATCCACTTTTCAGGTTCGAGTCTCCATATCTTGCAGGTAATCAGCAGCCATGGACAATCAAATGATGAGAGACACTCAGTGGCGTGTCAGTCAAGCATCCACTGCTCAGTTGTTGGAGTTGCTCTGGCAGATTTGGGACAGACTCAATCGCAGGTTCCGGTATCAGGATGGACCTATTCGTTGTTCACATCGGTGCCACCATTGCGAGAATCGTTGCTGCTATCACAGTCACCATACTACGCAGGAACAACAACATGATTGGTATGGGCCGCATTACTGTTTCCTGCATGATGAAGACGGTTACCAGCATCTGTGATCGATAGATTCCGACAGGATCTGTTTCCGACAGGACTTGATGTCGCGAGTTTTTGTAAAAGAACCAGTGCCGGATGCGATTTGATACAGGACCCAGCTTTGCCTTTTGAGGTATATATGTGGACGTGTATGCGTATGTTTGCATGTACTTGTAACCTGGAGGTTTGGACGCTTTCACTACTAACGTTCTTCAACAATGCATTGTATGTCTCGTTGCCACAGAAGTTGGACACAGGACCCAGGACTTCCCCTCACTGAGGGGTGTGTGTGTGTAAGCCTCGATTCTAAGCTAGAGGTTTTTGGCATGTGCGATGCAAGTGATTTCCGATGCTACAATGTTCCTTTGTCAGCAGGGGGGCAAGGGCTCCAGTGATCAGCCTTGCCCAACGAAGCCAAATCACTGGAGTGGATGCAGTGGCTGATCACCACTGTGTACCTGCTTTCGGATTAGCCAGGGGGCCCCCTGAGGCACTGGAGTAACCAACACTAGAGTGACAGCTTCATGTTTGCCACAGTCGAGTTCTTGCATGGTTGCTGCAATCTGATCATTCAGGTGTGACTTAGGCCTCAGGTGTTCGTCGACTTTAGCAACATATTATGACAAAACTGGAAGTGATTGGTTGTGTCCTGATGGACCCCAAACTCCGTGTGTGTGTGTTGCGTGTGCGTTTTCGACTTGCCGCTCCCTTGTGAAACGAGGCTAGTTTGTGTGGGCTTTGCAGCTGCGGCGTTGCGACAGCAAAACATGTATATGAATATGGCTGTGATCTGCAGCTTTATGTATGTATTCAGATGCCATGGCCCTCAGACTTGGCAGTTGGGGCCGAGGACCGGCTTGCTGAGCAACTGGTCAAGGGAGCTGAAGAAATGGGCAGCGGACGACCTGACCTTTCAAGTGCTCCTTGCTTGGAAAAAGAAACACTGGGGTGCCGGCCGGCGCCTACGGAACTCTCACCCCAAACCCTGAACTTATCGCTTCAACGCCTGAAGCCTAGTGGAAACCACTCACATGGGTTTGTTCTGCTTCAATTCCTGTTAACCTACCAAGCAATCTACACGTTGCAAAAGTGAGTGTTGCAGGCCTGCATCGCCTGCTGATGTCATACAGGTTCCAGTGGCGCTCGGGCCGCTGGAAAACCCTCGCTGAACCCAGCCTACTTAAACCCTCGAAGCATCCCTGAAGCTGCATCCTCGAAACCCCGAGCCCCAAAGCCTCCAACCCTAAGAAAGCCCTTGCTTCACCAAGAGTGTGTCCGCCGAGCCTCACCAGGTTTCACGGCAACAGCAAGAACTTGCTGGCCAATGCTCGTCCGAAAGAGGCGCCCAACTGGATCTGCCCGCGCTGCGAGGAGCCGAACAACGCCGGGCGAGCCTCTCGGAGCAGATTCGACAAACTCCCAACTACGAGTAGTGACGTTTCACTCATCAGACCTCGAATCACATGCCTCGCCTGGATTGTCCGAGTGTGAGTGTTGAGACATGGCAGGACCGACTGAGGGTGCTGGGTCTGTCAACAATGTAGGAGGTAGAAGCTCCGCCTACTCGTAAGATAGGGGCCCTTAGAATCACCTATACTCCTGCGGGTTCCTTATCATACTTATATAGTAGAATGGCCCCAAAACCGTATCCTAATTATGAAGGCCCCTACATCGTAGCGCCTTTCAGCTAGTCCAAGGCCGCCTGCAACAACTGCGGCGCTCCAAAGCCGCCAGTGCCCTGTGCTGCAGCCCAGCTGCCCCTGGGCCCCCGAAATCCGGGAGCCCTGCACCTCTGATATGCGTTGAGTTTATGTTAGTTGATAGTAAAAAAACTAGTTGAGGATGCAAAGGCCCCCCCTAGACCTAGATACCGGAACCAGCTTCACGGCTTTTGACGACTACGTGGAGCTCTGGCAGATCAGCCTTTGTTGATGCTTGTAGCCGCATCTCTAGCAGAGAGCCCTTCTCAGACTTGCATCGAAGATTATCGAGTTTTCAGGAGGAGGCCTTCGAGGTGTGGGCAGCGAAGGAACACGGCCGTGGTGGAACCCTCTGTGGCAGAGAACTCAATAGGGCTATGAAGGACAAAGTTGCTGAAGGACCCCAAACCCTTCAGAGCTCGTGCTGAGATGTTGCACGCCGTGACAACCAACCCTGCAAAACAAGCTCTCTTTATTTAAGGCTGAGTTTAAGCGTCCCATAACACCTTTGAGAATCCAAGAACCATCACTCAAGGGTGTTCTCGGTGCTGCTGCCGGTGCCGGGGCCGCCAGAACCGCTGCAGCGCCGAAGGCTGACGTAAACAAGTGTTTAGAGTTAGAGCTCCGAGATGCCGCAACCCTGTCGTATTTATGCGTTCGATTAGTGAAGGATTGCGTCTGCCGAAGACAACACATCCCTCACAGTGGTAAGTTAGACGGCTCCGCCATGCAATGTATTGTTCAGGGGGCTTCATGTTGAAGCGGCAACAGACTTTGCCCACCCCATTCTCCCAAGTGAAGACTCAGAGGACTTAGACGCAGAAGTCAAAGGCCCAAACCTTTCACGGCATTCAGACAACCAGCCCCCGATATACCCACCGCTAGATTGCAATCTTCGTGATACTGTTAAGTTATGGTATATGATTCTCCCCTCCCCTAAAGCCGAGCCTGAATGATAAAGCAGTGTAGGCCTCTGCATGAGGCAGCTGGCAAGGGGAAGCGGGGAAGAGCGCTGAATCAAGAGCAAAGCGCGAACATCATGCAGCCCGGCTCGCTTTGGATTTCACACACCTCAGGAGTTCAGGGTTCAAATTCTTGGTCGGTCCGTGGGGGTCATTTCTCAGCTTACCAATTGGGCGCCCTTGCAGTCGAAAAGGAAGTGCAGGCTGCAGGACGGGCCGTGCACAGTGTACCTTGAATCACACAGGGCCCTTCGAAACGAAGTTGTGAGCCTCGAAGCACAAGCCTCAGCATCGCAAGTCTTGGCTTGCCCATCGGGCACTGAGACCAGCCCGCAAGGCTCACATCATATGGCACTTTCCGGACCTCTGCGCAACATCTGATGAAGGCTTGCGTGCTTCGGAGTTTCGTGACGATAGGAGCTGTTTCAGTCAGTTTCTCCAGTTCGTCTGCATGAGAGGGAGCATCAGGGCAACATGTGAGAAGGTTCTCGAGACAATCGGTCGGTGACCGTTTCGGTCGGTACACCAGGTTCTGATTTCGGATCGCCTCGAGGCAGCTGTATTCAGACGCAAAAAACGTGGAGAAGTCAGAAGTCTTACTGGGTCGATGGGCCTAGGAAGCCTCAGGCAGGCACGTGCCAGCGGCTGGCTAGCGGCCTCCGCATCCACATTCGTGTTTGTTCAGCCTACAGTTCGGGCATGTTCGGGCAGCAGGGGTGTAACTTCTGGCGGTGGCCGCAGAATCATCCGTGGAGAATGGCCGCAAGATAGTCGGAATACGCACGTTGCCACTGTCGTAATGCTTACGATTTGGCTGCCAGAGCGAGAAGCAGAAATGCTTCATGACCCGCTTTCAAGGTAAGTCCGATGCACTACCTTGCTCTAGGCTGTTCGACACCTATCATAGGCAACCATGTCGCAAATCAGGTTCTTGCTCGAGGCCGCGCGATGTTGTTAATTCTCGATTTTTCTTAGCCTTGAGGCCATGAAGTCGTCGAAGCGATTTGAAGCCGAACGTCAATCCCAACGATTTTACTGGTAGAAATCGGAAGAGCCCGGATCTAAGAAGAGCTTTGGAGAGGCTTACCGGTTCGTCTTTCACAGACATTGTGTGTGAACGGTCTAGGACTTACGCCTCAAGCACTTCTACCCTCTCGGGTAATGAATTTTGGCATGGGGCTTTCGGCCAAAGCCTCGACCTAATTCCAACTTCATGGAGTCACGATGGTTTACGAGTTCAGGAGGATTTCGGTAACTCTTAGCGACTTGAAGGCACAGACGTTCGCGGGCATTATCCTGGACGAGGCGCAGAACATCAAGAACCACGGGACGCAGGCCCAGCAGTATCCAGCGGTAGTGACCTACTGCTACTGCTACCACTACTACCACGACGACGACTGTTACTACTACTGCTGCTAACTACTGTTGCTACTGCTATTGCTACTGATACTGTTACTGCCACTGCGACTGCGACTGCTACTGCTACTGCTACTACTACAACTACTACTACTAAAACTACTACTACTACTACTACTACTACTACTACTACCACCACTTCTGTCACCTCCACCATTTCTACCACTGCTACCATTGCTACCACTACTACCACTACTACCACTACTACCACTACTACCACTACTACCACTACTACCACTACTACCACTACTACCACTACTCCCACTACTACCACTACTACCACTACTACCACTACTACCACTACTACCACTACTACCACTACTACCACTACTACCACGACGACGACTACTGCCAGTAGCAGTAGTAGTAGTAGTAGTAGTAGTAGTAGTAGTAGTAGTAGTAGTAGTAGTAGTAGTAGTAGTAGTAGTAGTAGTAGTAGTAGTTAGTAGTAGCAGTAGCAGTAGCAGTAGCAGTAGCAGTAGTAGTAGTAGTAGCAGTCCTGCTACTACTACTACTACTACTACTACTACTACTACCACTACTACTACTACTACTACTACTACTACTACTACTACCACCTACTACTACCACCTACTACTACTACTACTACTACTACTACTACTACTACTACTACTACTACTATGACCTACTACTACCACCTACTACTACTACTACTACTACTACTACTACTACTACTACTACCATAACAACAACAACTACCACTACTAGCCACGGCCTTAACCTCACCATCATCATCCTCATCGTTGGTGTTGGACTACGACATCGGGAAAGTACTGTAAATACCGAAAATGGATGTGCTGTTAAAAAGACGTCATCAACGCCTCCCCCCGCGCCACACTACCCCCCGCCCACCCCGCAAGCAGCAACCGTGCGTAATAGCGGTGGTTGGTATTGGACTACAACACCCCGAAAGTACTGTCAATACCGAGTAAAATGGATGTGCTCTTAAACAGTGTCTAGGAGAGGTGGTTGGCAAGCGGGGGACTACACGTAGTGTTAGTACCGGGTCTAGTACTAGTGCTAGTACGAGTACTAGTGCTAGTGGCAGTAGGAGCAGAAGTGCTAGTAGAAGTAGTAGTCGTAGTAGTAGTTACCCATACTTCTACTAGCACCAGTACGACGAAGACTACCACTCCGACTGCTATTGCTATTACCTATTACGACTACTTCGACTACTGGTACTACTGGAATTACCAGTAGTAGTACTTACTTCGGCTACTGATACTACTGCTTCGACTGCAACGACTGCTACTACTGCTGCGACGACGACGACTACTATTACGACGACGACTATTACTACTACCTCGACGACTACTGCTAGTACTGCTACAGCTACTGCTACTGCTACTGCTGCTGCTGCTGCTAATACTACTACTACAACCACTACGACGAGACTACTACGACGACGGCTACGACGACGACTACTGCTACGACAGCGACGACTGCTACTATTACTACTACTACTACTACTACTACTACTACTACTACTACTACTACTACTACTACTACTCCAGCTGCTGCTGCCGCTCCTGCTGCTGCTACTCCTGCTGCTGCTACTCCTGGTGCTGCTGCGGAATCACTCTTGCGATGCAACGCCAGCGGAGATTTTTCTAGACGTGCAGGAACGTGCCGCTTCAGAGATTAGTTTAAGGTTTAGTGACCTTTCCCATGAAAGGTGGCCCGGTTGGTCAAGCAGATGGCGGACTGCTGCGGGACGGCCTGGGGCTCGGCGTGTGGGGTTTGGATTCAAGATGCGCCGTCTCCGGTGACAGGGGCTGAGAATCAGTTTCTGACTCGGGAGAGGTGGTGCCATGAGGAATCGTGAGTGTAGTGTTTGAGAATGGCAAGACAAGCGACGGCAGTACGTTGTCAGCCGCAGTAGATAACACAGTGTCAGCCGTAGATGCTGTGGAGAATCTAGGAGGAGCAGCGGCTGCATGAGCGGTGGTTGTAGTATGGCTATGTCAGTAAACTATTAGTGGCAGTAGCTGCAGGAGCAGCATAAGTACGGGCAGCGGCGGCAGTAACAGCAGAACAAGTAAAGGAGTACCAGCCACTGGGCAGCAGTGGTATCAGCCACACCGGAAAGAGGAGTCGCGAATATGCAGCTAGTATAAGATTTCGCCTTGCTGGACGCCTCAGCGCCCCGAACCCCGAAACCTTCCCGAGTGTGAGCGTCCAACGCGGGAGTCTCGACGCCCTGCTCAAGCGAAGGTCCGCGTCGCTTTGAGCGGGACCCCGGCAGCTCGCCCCGTTCTTTGTAGGGATTCAAGGTATCGGGTTGCAGGCTTTTTGGCCCAAGTCGGACAGCTGGCACAGTCAAAGAGCTCCGAGGGACGCCCTACACTGCACCAATAACCAGAAGCAGTTTGAAGTTCAACGCTATTCTTCTGACCCTTGAAACAGCTTTATCAGCAAATGCTCCAAAGGGGCTGCGAAGGAAGTGTTTCCACCATCTTTGCTACTACGACGACGACTGCCACGACGACGACGACGACTACTACTACTACTGCCACTTCTACTACTGCTACTGCGACTGCCGCTGCCACTGCCACTGCCACTTCGACTGCCACTGCTACTGCTGCTACTGCCGCTACTGCTGCTGCTGCTGCTACTGCTGCTGCTACTGCCGCTACTGCTACTGCTGCTTCTACTGCTACTGCTGCTACTGCTACTGCTGCTGCTGCTACTGCTACTGCTGCTACTGCTAGTGCTGCTGCCACTGCTACTGCTACGGCTACGACTACCAGGATTGTCATCACTCTTACTACTATTATCTTTGGATTGTTGCCATTAAGCTTTTGATTATTCTTATGATTATTGGTATTATTCTTACCAGGAGTGTTCATGCTGTAGATTTTTGCCTGTTGCTGTTATTACTCTTCGTATGACACGTAATATTACTCTTGTCATCATGCTCATTTCAAGCTTTTATTATCGCGATAATGTTTAAGGCTGCGGGCCGCTTCGGGCCCCTTCCTGCGCTCCGAGGTGGAGAACTCCCTGGCAGACCTCCACTCCTGCTTCGAGTTCATCCTGCCAGGGTATCTGGCGTCCTTGGGCAGCAAGCGCTTGGGAAAACCAACACATGGCATGCTAAGCATGGTATATAGTAAACACTGTGAAACATTCTGGGATATGATAGCATAATGATGGACCTTGGGCAGCAAGCGCTTGGGAAAACCAACACATGACATGCTAAGCATGGTATATAGTAAACACTGTGAAACATTCTGGGATATGATAGCATAATGAGGGACCTTGGGCAGCAAGCGCTTGGGAAAACCAACACATGGCATGCTAAGCATGGTATATAGTAAACATTGTGAAACATTCTGGGATATGATAGCATAATGATGGACCTTGGGCAGCAAGCGCTTGGGAAAACCAACACATGGCATGCTAAGCATGGTATATAGTAAACACTGTGAAACATTCTGGGGTATGATAGCATAATGATGGACCTTGGGCAGCAAGCGCTTGGGAAAACCAACACATGACATGCTAAGCATGGTATATAGTAAACACTGTGAATGTGAAACATTCTGGGGTATGATAGCATGATGATGGACCTTGGGCAGCAAGCGCTTGGGAAAACCAACAGCATGGCATGCTAAGCATGGTATATAGTAAACACTGTGAAACATTCTGGGATATGATAGCATAATGATGGACCTTGGGCAGCAAGCGTTTGGGAAAACCAACACATGGCATGCTAAGCATGGTATATAGTAAACACTGTGAAACATTCTGGGATATGATAGCCTTGGGCATAATGATGGACCTTGGGCAGCAAGCGCTTGGGAAAACCAACACATGACATGCTAAGCATGGTATATAGTAAACACTGTGAAACATTCTGGGGTATGATAGCATGATGATGGACCTTGGGCAGCAAGCGCTTGGGAAAACCAACACATGGCATGCTAAGCATGGTATATAGTAAACACTGTGAAACATTCTGGGATATGATAGCATAATGATGGACCTTGGGCAGCAAGCGCTTGGGAAAACCAACACATGGCATGCTAAGCATGGTATATAGTAAACACTGTGAAACATTCTGGGATATGATAGCATAATGATGGACCTTGGGCAGCAAGCGCTTGGGAAAACCAACACATGGCATGCTAAGCGTGGTATATAGTAAACACTGTGAAACATTCTGGGATATGATAGCATGATGATGGACCTTGGGCAGCAAGCGCTTGGGAAAACCAACACATGACATGCTAAGCATGTTATATAGTAAACACTGTGAAACATTCTGGGGTATGATAGCATGATGATGGACCTTGGGCAGCAAGCGCTTGGGAAAACCAACACATGGCATGCTAAGCATGGTATTTAGTAAACAGTGTGAAACATTCTGGGATATGATAGCTTGATGATGGACCTTGGGCAGCAAGCGCTTGGGAAAACCAACACATGGCATGCTAAGCATGGTGTATAGTAAACACTGTGAAACATTCTGGGATATGATAGCATGATGATGGACCTTGGGCAGCAAGCGCTTGGGAAAACCAACACATGACATGCTAAGCATGATATATAGTAAACACTGTGAAACATTCTGGGATATGATAGCATGATGCTGGACCTTGGGCAGCAAGCGCTTGGGAAAGCCAACACATGGCATGCTAAGCATGGTATATAGTAAACACTGTGAAACATTCTGGGATATGATAGCATAATGATGGACCTTGGGCAGCAAGCGCTTGGGAAAACCAACACATGGCATGCTAAGCATGGTATATAGTAAACACTGTGAAACATTCTGGGATATGATAGCATGATGATGGACCTTGGGCAGCAAGCGCTTGGGAAAACCAACACATGGCATGCTAAGCATGGTATATAGTAAACACTGTGAAACATTCTGGGGTATGATAGCATGATGGAGCTTGGAAACAACAAGTTGAGATGCAGTGGTAGAAGCTGACTGCCGAGGGCAAGGCAGTTGTTAATGTTTGCAGATGTGTTCGTGAACAACAAGTTGCATTAGTACTTCTGCTGCAGCAGCTGCTGTGCCTGCCCCCTTTACAGGGACACGCTACCGACAACAGCGCCGTTGCTGCTGCTGCTGCTGCTTCCGGTTTTCGGCACTGTTCTCACCGTTGATGCTGGGATTGCCGCGCCCAGAGCAACCTAGGAACTCCAAGAGCGAATTCACCAAGGACCTGTGTCGGTTTGAGGTTGTCACGGGGCAGTTGAAAAGCGATCGCCGGTTTACCCTGCAGGCCGAGCATCTGCGTGCAACCCTGCATGTAGACTAGCACCACATCGGAGTTTTTGGTTCTTATTCCTGGATCTCGTATTGCTACCCGATTCCCAAGACGCATTTCGAGGCTGCACGCTGTAGAACTGCACTCGGTGTCAAACTCCAAACAATATCATCACATGCTACTTCTTGCATGCTCCATACCTTATCGCTCGTCTGTCAGTTGTGAGGAGTTTGCCAAGCCCCTTGCCGCGGCAGCCAGGAAGCAGGACCCTGTCCCTGAGGCCTGGAGTGGCAGTCACTATTGGCATAGCGATGGTACAGTTGCTTTCAATATAGAGACATCATTTTGCTCGCCAAATCAACAATTATGCCGACTAGTAGGCGTTCTTGCAGTGCTTTGTTGGCAGCACTGGGGTGGTGGCCATAGTGGTAGTAGTGGCAGCAGCAGGAGCAGTAGCAGGAGGAGTAGGAATAGGAGTAGGAATAGGCATAGGAGTAGGAAGTAGCAGGAATAGGAAGAGAGGAGGAGTGGCAGGAGTAGGAGGGGTAGGAGGGTAAGAGGGGTAGCAGGAGTACGAGTGAGAGGAGTGGGAGTAGGAGGTAGGGGTGCGAGTACTAGACTAGTGGGAGTAGTGGTCGGAGTGGTGGTGGTAGTAGTAGTAGTAGTAGTAGCAGAAGTCCTTCTGCTGCTGCTGCTGCTGCTAGTAGTAGTAGTAGTAGTACTACTACTACTACTACGACCACTGTTGGTGCTGCTGCTATTGTTAGGAGGAGGAGGCGAGGAAGATGTATGAGTGCAGAGGCCAGGTCTTGCCATTCGCTTCGGCATCTTCAGCCCTCAGACACAGGTCGCCGACAAGCAGCGCCTGCTGCAGCGACTCATACAGCCCTTCGTAATGAGGCCAGCCGGCCTGGCTTGGTGTTCAGAGTCAGGTCTGTAAACCATGGACAGCTGACAGGCTATCTTATGTGTGCCCTGGTTTTCCCATTGCCTGGAGCCAAAAGTGCTGAGGCGACTGAAATCTGACAAGAACATCGCTGCCGACCTCCCGGACAAAGTCGAGCAGTGTCGCACCTGCAAGAGGGGCTGCAGGTAACAATTTGAAGGGCTTGCGATTGCGGTTGAGTTCATGGGGCTCGTTTGTTGTCTTTGAGTCAGGAACACATGCGGCATGAAGGGCTTCGCCTTCTGATTTGTCCTGTACTGTTTGACATAGCAAGTCTTCGGCTCCAGGAACCACGACTGTGAGCTCTCGCCCATGCAGGCCGGCTGCGTTGCTGCTGGTTTTACTACACAGAATTACTTGCAGAGCTATGCAATCCCCGATAGCCTCAAAGTCTTGAGGATCCAAGACCCTGCACGTTCAGAGCCCGAGGCCCAACTTCACAACGAAGCAGGCCCCTCATGGAAGCAACTGGTGCTCTTGCTAAACCTTTCACCAGGAGACCTTCTACAAGGCGCTCCAGGCCCGCTGTGTTTCGGACTACGGGATTTTGTTTTTTCAGGTTTGGAGTTGAGGGATTCAGAGATTTTTGGGCCATGTTAATGTTTCAAGCCTTGAGATACGTGGGTGCATGTTTTTCCATGACCTCAAAAGAAAGCCTGTTTTCGGACAGCCGTTCATATGTGTGAGCTTCGACGGAGGCTTTGCCGGACACTAGGGATCGACGCTGCTTCGCCGTTCTGAATGTCTTGCATGCTACTTCACCAAACTTCATGTGTTCCTTGTTTGGTTTTGCATGATTTCGCTGTGATGGAAATCCAAAACGCCATTTTCCAGCAGTTCATGCTTTGAGTAGTTTGAGGCAGAAATACTGCTGGGCGCAACATTCAGAATCAGAAGCGTCTAAGCTTGTCAGGGCCTTTGGCCTTGGCATCCTCGACGAGTCCCCATAAAATCTGCAGCCCTCGGTAAACCAAAAGCATGACAAGCTGGCGCAGGCGCAAGATGCAACAAATCTTTGGATCACGTTGCAAACAGAGCAGACCGCAACATATCAGTCAAGGCAAACGTTCGCTTTGATAAGGCAGCTCAGGCCAGTGTCATTGTTTTGTTGGATGGTGACCCTTCCTTCGTGCTGTGTGAACATCTGTGAAACCCGAAAGTCAGGCCCATGAACCCTGACTGCTGAATCCCAAGTGAAAATAGCTCTAGGCCCTTTCCCGAGGCCTCTCCTGGCTTTTGCCTCTCCCGTCCAGGAGAAAGGCCAAAGAGATGCCGAAGGAGCTCAGGGCATCGAGCGGCGTGGTCAAGTCTCCTCGCTGCAGTGGGCTTCGATCCGAGTGTTTTCTTTTCCCCAGGTTTCCAGAAGGTAGAGATCGGCTTCGGCTTAGGTTTCAAAACTCGCGTGTACCTTGACCTGCTCCAAGCCTCCTACCTTCTGATTCTACCGCCTCCCTTGTTGCAGCCAGCCTGAGACCAAGCCGGACTTTTCTTGATTTCTGGTCCAGAAACCTCCAGACAAGAGAGCACCTGTGCAACACTAGTAGATCCTAGCATCGCAAGGTCCGGAACCGAAACCCGAATGAGAAAGCAAAGTAAGCCCAACACTAGCCAGCAGCAGAAGCCCTAAAGCTTGAAAGCCGGTCGAAACTCTGCAAGGATCGTACAGTCTACCACAGGAGGCTTTAGGGTATAGTATCCCATGATTATAATAAGAAGCCCCCAAGATAGTATTGGTAAGTATGTAGGCCCCTATAGTACTAGATTATCGGAATGCTGCGTCCCAGGTTATTGCTGCCTAGTAGTTGCTGCTTCTCTTCATTGGTGCCCGTGGTTACCCCGCCCCAGCATTGCCAATTGCTTCAAACCGAGCCTCCACCCCAAACCCCAAAGCACTGGCATTGCTGCAGGTCCTCGCCATGCTCCACGCGCTCCGAAAGGTGTGCAACCATCCGGCGTGTCTGGATCCCGAGAAGTATCCGCAGGAACCCGAAGCCCGTGACAAATCGGGCTGGGTAGATGAACATGCTATCTTGGAGAAGAGAGAACGGTTCGTGTTAGACTCTGGAGTCAGAGTCTCCGTCCTCTAGCGATACCGGGCTTTGGGCGAAGGGTCCAAGGACATGTGCTCGTTGTCGCGCACAAGAAAGAAACTATGTGACCAGAAAGCTGAAATCCTCCAAGTTGGCCACCGACTGACATGAGCGAGGGACGTTCATGACAAAACATGTAAGCGATTTTATCAGCACAGTGCTGTCCAGCCTGCAGATTCCACTATAAGGCCCAAAGGGGTCGGAAGTGTCAGCAACAATTTCCTTTTATCGTCTTAATTCCCTTAAAGAAATTGTTACACGAACCTTTGACATAACTCTGTTCTAACTGTTAAAGCCCGTATGCTACAAGACATCCTGCACCAGGGCACGGAGCAGATCCCAAAGAGCTCCGACATCGAGGCTAGTGGTAAGTGCGCCCCTGGCCTTTATGTCATTTGGGGTTCAGGGTCCCTGGTCTTTCTGGGTGGGTTTGCGGTGTCGGGTTTCAGTTGCCAGCACAGAGGGCATCTTTTGACTTCCTAATCTTTGGGAGAAAGGCGGGTCTTGCTACAGGATGCTACAGGTATAAATCGTCTGCCAGGTCCGGGGAAGCACATATCCGAACTCCTGCACCGATCCGTATGGATCCTGCTACGTTTGCAGGTCTTGTAGTAGTAGGACCATGAGGGTGCCAAAAAATGAGTTTAGACACATGTATTTAGAGTGTGAAGCCCTAAGGAGTTGCATCGTCAGCGTTCTGCGTCACCGTATGTTCGCCTGGGGTAAAGCGAAATCTGCTTCTTTTTCTCATTGCCCTCGAAAGTATTGCTTGGAACGAAGGGTCTTTGCATTCGGGAAATGAAATTGCAGGCAAGCCTCCAGTTGCCTGTAGCCGTAACCCCGATAAGTTCGCGAAGCTCTATGATTCCTGTAACCTGTGATCCGAACTGACTACTAATAGCCACTAAGCTTCCATTCCAGTCTGAACTAAGGCGAAGCTGCACGAGCTCTTGCAGAGCATCATCGCGGCGCCACCTGGCTTGGACAGGGTTCAGTGATGATTCGTTCATTCCGAGTAGTTTCTCGGAGAATGGCAGAGGGGGAAACTCTCGCCGTATTAATCGCGGGAATATGCGCCATTGGCAATGACCACGACGTTCGAGATTCTGGACAGGCAACATGATGCTGACAATCGCGGTGTTGATGGTGATGGTCATAGCGGAAAGGAGTTTGATATTAAGGATCCTGTTGTCATCGCCGTTGTTGGTGATGAGCATGGTAGTGATCAGGCGCTGAGGGCTTTGATTGTCATCCGCCGAGGGAGGAGAAGGTGCTCATCTTTTCGACCTACCTGGCTACGATCAGCCTTTTGAAGGGCCAGATCGAGGAGAATTTCAACAGCAAGGCACGCAACCGGGTTTTCGTGGTTGTCTCAAGCAGCTGAGGGTGCCCGCTCCCTCCCTTCCTATCAGTCGCCGAGAATCTGTCTCGCAAGTATTGTAGCTACACCTCACTCCGAATTGTGCACAAGGGGCCCGGATCCTAGTCCGCTTGACATTGGCTTCTCTGATCAGATCTGGTCATTGTGAAGCACATCCTTAGTGAAAGGGACGCGCGGGGCAGACCTGGCTGAGAGCCTTCCAGGTTGCCGAAGCGCTGATGCTAGTAGACCCTGTGCCATTTTGCAGAACCTGCTGCCGCAGCCATTTTGTCGGGTAGACTGTGGGACTCATAGAGAAGATGATCCATCAAAGTCTGCGTATCGAGGAGCACGTGAGTAGTGCGTTATGGAATGTGGGTGGTACTGCACTCTGAGTTCAAAGATCCAAGTTCTTGTGAATAAGGAACAAGCAGCATCTAGTCCCATGGCATCGGCGCAGATGCCCAGAGGCTCGAACCACCCGCCCGGTATGGAAGCCGACGTGGCTGCGGGTTCGGAGACTCGTCACGAGTCTTTCTTACTTGTCTCCGTTGCTTACTAGTAACCACCTCTACACGTGGCGAATTGTACGAGTGCCACTAGTCGGTGTTACTACTCACACCAGCTAGCGTCATGTCCCTTCCTGGTCATCACCATCATCATGATCATCATCAACTGCTGCTGCTGCTGCCTTCCTGCTCGATGGCAGTTGTGCCGGTTCCAGTGCTAACACTTGTACTAGGACCAGCACTAGCCTTTGCACTAGTGCTAGTACTAGTACTAGTACTAACGACTGAGTTGGTTCATGGGGTCTGCTTGCTGACATGGACACGACTCTGCAGGCAGGAGTAAGCTCCACATGCGGGCGCTTGTCACATGTGCATTCGCAGAAGCTACAGGAACCGGTGCATTACAAGGGAGGCCCGTCGCAGTACATCAAGACCGCGATCAAGCGAAGGATGTCCTCGGACGAGTTTACTGAAAGCCCAACGTCCACGTATACGAAGAAGCGAGCCAGGAAGTGCCTGCACTCCACATATATGGATCCTTCGGCTGGCTTCGTCCGTTTTCTTTGCTTACACAGTTGTTACACATCATCATTATCTTTCCCGAGAACCTGGACCCGCAGGATCGCTTTCAGTTTGAACCCTGCGCAGAAAACTGTTACTCCTGAAGCTCTCGCCAGCCAAGGATCTCTTCTCAGGCTTTGTGGTTTCGATCGATCTTGCCCTGGCCTGTGTCGATATCGATCTCCGCGCTGGGGGTGCTCCAGCGCCCACCTGGGCTTTCTTGGTCTGTCAGGTCTGCCTCGCTTTCTATATCCTGGAGTTGTTCTGTGGATGCTCTTCAGTCCCCTTTTCCGGTCCCTGTTGTAAAGATGCGGAAACAGCGAATGCAAAAGAATTCAACAAGGCCCCCCTTGCCCGGTTCGCTTTGTTCGGTCCATCTTCTCGGCTTTGGGAGAAGGCAAGAAGCTTTTGAACCTAAAGTCCCTATACTATACTCTAACCTACTAGACTATACTATACTAGAATGACTAACACTATACTATACCATACCAAACAATATACAAGACAGCCAGTACATCACAATACGGGTTTACTTTTTCGGTATGTTTTACCACACCCAACCAACTGAGGTTTTGGCATCTCTTCGTCGGCCAGTGGCAGGTGCTGAAGACACTTGACTGGTGGATCGATGCTAGCATCGTCATTGCCTCGATCATAGAGGTGGTGTTCCTCATTATGGGAAGCTTGGCTTTTCGTGCATTGGCCCCCGTACAGCAATAAGAATTGTCAAGAGCAACAAAAATTGGGCAAGCTTATGATAGCCGGTGTCTGCATCTGTTCTGATTTTACATACCCTACATTGGTGTTTTCCTGGAGCCTTCCAGGAGCACTTCCTAGTTGAGACACTTGAGGATCAAGACCGGCATACTTCAAACGAACGCAGCTGACTCTAAGACTCTAGCGGGCGAAGGCTGCATAGATTCTGTGAAGAACACATCAGCATCTAAGGAAGCACTGCTGAAGAGGTCCGAGTTTTCAAGCTGCTGCGGATAGCCAGGATCATGCGGCTCATCCGCTTCATTCGGAAGTCACCCTCGCTTCGGGAGCTACGCAAACTTATGATGATCCTTGGATAAAATTTGGGGTAGTGCGTTAGGCATAAACCGACCCGTAGCATGTGGGTGTGCCATCCCTGCGAACGAGAGGATGTTTGCCAGCGTTATCCGCACGCTTGCATGGTCCTTTCTTTTCTGCTTTATCGCCACCACCCTTTGGTCCATGGTGGCAGTCGAACTCGTGAACCCAGTCCTGCAAGATCTGGCGAAAGAAGGTGAGTTCGACGACTGCAAAGAATGCAAGGAGGCCTTTGCCACCATCCTGCAGTCAAACCTCACATTCCTGCAGACAATGTTGGCGGGAGACAGCTGGGGAAAAGTGGCCATGCCTGTGATACGGAGGCAGCCTTATACAGCTGCGATCTTCGTGGGTGCACTGGTTTCCGTCATGTACGGCATATTAAATCTGGTCGTTGCCGTGACCTGACTTATCTTCAAGAGGGCGTCCATGGCATGTAGCTTATGTAGAGATCGCCGTTTGAAGTTCCACCTGCCGCAGCCCCTATTAAATAGGTCATCGTCGATGCAGCAATGGAGCAGAGGGAGAAGGACATCACGACCTTGGCTGCAGATTTGGACTACGAGCTTGAGGAGGATCTGAAGCCTCCGGACTGCGATCCTTTCATCCGAGAGCGTAGCACCCACCATAATACTGGGCCCTCAATAAATACCAATACTACTTCGGCGGTTCCTTGTGTTCGAATTTATAGTATAGCATACCCCAAAACCACAGTCTCTTTACTAAGTAGAGACGGAGGTGGCGGTTTCCCGGCGTGGGAAGCCGATCGAGTTGTCCTGGTGGGATGCTTTTAGCCTGGTGACGTGGGTTTGATCGCAGGGTCTCCCCGCAGCTTCAAGGTTGCGAGATTATAGTAATGAATGCGTTCTGTTGCGGGTATTCTAAGTCTTGTGGCAACGTCTGTCTGTAGACCTCTGATTAGAAAGCCCGTTCCCACAGCCCTGGCGCCCGCAAGATCACCGTGCCTACCTTCCCATTGGGAGACCAACTTGCGTTGCCCTACCTAGCCGAGGCATTTGGGGCAAATGTTCAAGCCGCAAAGCATCATTTGAGCGGGTTTATGAGGTAGCTCGTAGGGTTTTGATTTAATTGATTATGCTTCCCGCGCCCATGGCTACTACACAGGATTCAGAGTTCAGTTGGGTTGGTTTGGAGTTCCGAACAAACGAGGTTTCTTCCACCCCGCTTTCGGGAAACAAGGTCTACCAAGGTCAGGGAAGGGGTTGTTTCCACGAGGATCCGTTAAGGGATTTGCTGCTTCCAGGTGACTCTGCATTCGGTTCTCGTTTTGACCAACACTGTAGAGCTTTGGTCTGCGGCAGTCCTGTGAGCCACCCTTTGTATGTAGCTCGGCGCCGCGGCATCATTCCTGCACACCAAGCTTTGCAGGGGTGCGAGTGCTTCCCTTGAATGTTTAAACCGAAAACAAGGGGTTGCAAACATGGAGATCACGAAACGAAGATTCGTACCAGGCTCCTGTGACAGCGACGGGTCTCGAGTTAAATGACCGTACACCAAAACTGCCTCAAGCAGCTACCAGCTCAGGAAGGTGGATGCGAACGGGGATGGCGAGCTCTCTTTGTCAGAGCTGCTTCAGGGCGCAGAAAAGGAAAGGTCGGATTGCTTTGTGATTGTCATCGTGCCTGATCGAATCATAGTTGACCTTATTCTAGTTTAAGATGTGGGTTTTGGCTGGGAGGTTTACGATTTTCGCGAGCCTGGCCTCAGGCGCCTTAGGGAGCACAGAAGGGCACAATCGTGTCTGGATTTGCGCTGACCCCAGACCCGAAACATCTGAAGCCGTGCTTGAGACGGGCGTGTGCACGGCAGTTTTTGCCTGCCACAGTCTCAAAGTCTATCTTAAAGCCATCATTCGACACTTGCCGGAGGGAGCCGGAGGGAATCGAAAAAGGAGTACACAGTCGCCAAGACGGGAAACGCGGCAATTAATAATATGATAGAACTTAGAAGAATCTGGAAACAAGAAGGGTAATAGTCGTCGTCGTAGCAGGAAGAGGAGTCGCTAGGGTTGAAGAAGAGCGCGACACTTTGTGAGTCAAGCAGGAGCCGGAGTTCCAGAATCGTTTGCGCGTCATGGACATCGATGCGGTGGATCTGGAGCAGCTCTTCCGCATGCTGGATGACGCTTGGACTCAAAGGACCTGAGGGGCAAAACAACGCTTCCAGGCGCCGGAGGCCTTTTGCGCGCCTTGTGGGCTGCTTCCCGGCTGTCTTGGGGTTGCAACTTTGCCTAAGATCCTGCGAGCGAGAACTCCGAACCTCTCCAGCACACACGCAAACACGCACGCACACACACATACACGCGCACACAGACACACACGAACACACACCCCTTGCCATTTAGAGCCTGCGGCCAAGAACGTTCCTCCGTCATGCGCTATGTTTGCTCGACCATCTCTGAATGCGTAGAGACAGGGGCTTCGGACCTTTACAACCAATCCCCGTAAGCCATGTAACATGTTTTCCCCAGATTCAGGATTTTGGGTGGGCTTTGGGTTTTTGGTTGTCGGGCTCTGGGTTCCAGGGGTTTGGCTGTTGTTTTTTCGGGGACTTCCTTCAGTCTTGGTATTATGTGGTATTCTACCCTAGACTCTTAGGCGAAGTAGAGTAGTTAGCTTCAGTTGCGCACCCGAACACAGACCTCGTCTGGCGAGTCCCAGTTGGGAGAGTGTCAACCTGAAATATAAGCAGACGCTGGATCCTTGCCTGCCTCGTGCGAGTCGTGAGAGCCGAAGCACATTGAAATGCTGCTAATAATTACCACAAATCCCCAGACTGCCCGACCTTGTATCAGCAATATCGAACTTGAAGCCAGAAGCC